AAGTAGCAGAAACAGCAGCAGCAGCTGCAACAGTTGTGTAGTATAAGTTTGGGTAGTGGTGGTGAAAGAAAGTATTGGTAATCAGAATGCGAAGGTAGCAGTGGCGGGGTACTCTGGAGTAGAAGCGAATCGAGAGTAGGAAGTAATGATACCAGATGCTGTAGTTTCCCTGCTTCGTCTTGTTTTTCTTCTTTATCTTGCTGTTGTTGTTGATGTGTTTGTTGTTGTTGTTGTTGTTGTTGTTGTTGTTGTTGTTGTTTGTATGTTGTTGTTGTTGCTGCTGTTCTTCTTCTTCTTCTTCTTTTTCTTCTTTTTTCTCTCTTCTTCTTCTTCTTCTTCTTCTTCTTCTTCTCTTCTTCTTTCTTCTTCTTCTTCCTCTTCTTCTTTTTCTTCTTCTTCTTCTTCTTCTTCTTCTTCTTCTTCTTCTTCTTCTTCTTCTTCTTCTTCTTCTTCTTCTTCTTATTATTATTATTATTATTATTATTATTATTATTATTATTATTATTATTTCAAATATTATTATTTTTGATATTTTTAATGCTTTGTCTTTATCATTTACTTTATGTTTTTCCTCTTCATTCTCTTTCTCTTCCTTCTAAACCTCATTTTCCTAATCCTTCTTTTATCGTCTTTTTCTTCTACTGCTTTCTATTTTTTTTTCTTTCTTTTTCTCTTTCTTTCTTTCTTCCTTTCTTTCTTGTGTCTTCTTTAGAACTGTCTTTTCTTGGAGACATTGACTGATATAATTTTTATATCTGTCGTCAAACAATTTAGACAATTATTGTGTTTTGCTTTTCAAATGTTCTCAGAGAAGTTATACCTTTCTTTGAATTTTTAAATAATTCTCACAACCACAAATCGACACAGATTTTACTTACTGTCAACCTCTTTAACAAACAAACAAACAAACAAAAAACCAATGGTGTGCACGTTAAAATTGCAAGTAATGATGCTAGAATAGTAGCTAAATGTATAATAAAAGTCAAAGGCTCTATTGGGACAAGTACATATATTTAAGTATCTAGGCACATAGATAACATCCGATGGAAGATGTATTACAGAGATAAAGAACAGAATAGGACAAGCCAAAACTGCAATTTTATAAAATTAAGAACATGTTTTGCAATAAATCCATGTCATTCGAGGTTAGGAAATGAATTGTCGCATGCTATACAGAGTCAGTTTTAACATACAGCTGTCAATCCTGGACAATTAATAAACAAGCCGAACGATATCTCGAGGCGTCTGAAATATGGTTTTACAGAAGAATCCTTACACTTCATTGGACAGATAGGAAGAGTAACTCAGATGTATTGAAAGAAGCGAATGCTCGGAGACAATTTATCATAAACATCAGACAGAGACAGTCATCATTCCGTGGTCATGTTATGAGAAGAGGAAATTTGAACATATTGTGAAAAAATGGAAAGATTGTGGAAAAAGAGACAGAGAAAGACAGCCTAAGAAAATTCTTGACGGCATTTTTTCATAAAATAAAGGGGTACTGCGAATCGCAGATTGTTGAAAGGTATGTTCGCCCACGCCAGTCGGCAAGGCAATTGATGAAGATGAATGATGCTACACGTCTTTAAATGATTAGTTTAATGATAACTAAAAATGTCCAAAAGAAGTAATAGCTTAAAAAAAAATAAGGGGGGGGGGGGGGATTCAACTAATTACTAAAGCACTTTTTTTTTAAAAGTTTATTTATCTAGGTTATTTCAGCATCGCGGTTCTTAATTCTCGCTTTTGAAATAAAGTGAGTCCAAGGGTCAGAGATATCTCAGGCTGTAGATGGCCGATCTCTTCAACAACGGGTCATTCTAGTGGTTTCCCACTGGAAGTCCCCACTGAGGTAACTTCTTGGTCATGGATAAGCATTCTTCAGTCGAAACCCTTGTGCGCGATCGGAAAGACACCAGACACAGTGGATGTAGAGAAAAGTAAATCTCGATTTAAAAATCCCACGCCTAAGGTGGACCAATGTTTTTACTATGCACTAATGGCTAATGGAATTTGCAGTCTTGCGTTAGGGCGTCTACTCAACAGGAGTGTCAGCGTTAGGGTTTTGGACATCTACTGCCTCGCCTATAGCAAGCGGTATGCCCGGCTATCTAGCGTAGTTGGCTAAACCGGATTGCGCGGAGACCGGGTGACGAACTCCTTGTAGTCCGGGTTCAATCCCGGGGGTAGGCAGGAAAGCCACATTTTCTCCCAGATTTACGGTATTTACAATGGAATCAAGGCCGAAAGGTTGAGATATCCATAATACCGAGCCTAAGGGATACTAAAAAAAAAAAGCAAGCGGGCTATTCTAGGGTGACTGTTTACTTCCTGATTTGGATTTTAAAAAAAACACCTTTATGTGTATTAGTTAGTCTTTCCTATTGAGACTAGGGGTGGCGCATAGGGCATAAGTCATAACTCTCTATGTCTGGCGGTTCGTTGTCCATTGTTTTAGGTCTTGGATGTTTATTAGGCTCATGGTTGAGCCTTCCCTGATGTTAGACCTACGCCTGGTCTCTCTTGGTCTTCCCAGATTTTTTTCCTTCCGCTGTCGAAATGAGGGCTTGTTGGGGAAGTCTGGTCTCATACTTTCTGAGTGTCAAGTGATTGATATCATCTACAGATAGCAAAGGAGAGATGGCGAATAGAAGAAGACAGGCAAATTGAGGCGGAGACTCACCGTCCAATCACAGGTGGGCAGGGCCAGGTTCCCGAAAACTTAGTTGTACCCATAATCTAATTGTTTGTTATGCTTGCGAAAATATAACATACAGTTGAGAATAAAGTGAACGGTGATACATGGTAAAGGTAAAGCAAAGTAAAGATCCCCTTTCACGCCTTAGGCGCATCGAGCATATGGGAAGAGCCCCCATATTTTTACAGTGACTACACACAAGATGGGATGGTAACGTGGCATTAAGAATAATCATACAGAAACAGAACTGAAGATACACAAAACACATTATAAAAGATTACTGCCGTTCCTTTACATACTACTTTTATATTTTTGTAAATTATGTCGAATGTGAACTTACTTTGTCGAAGAGTCAATTTTCCTGGAAAAGGGAAACAAAACAAAAAGTTTGGAGTTTTAGGATGGCGCAGTTCACAACAGCAAATGTTATTATTATAAACTTAAATCCGAATCATATAAAGTAAACATCCGAAATACGTAAAGTAAACGGTAGCCTTTTTAACCCATCGGTTATGTGACACTAGATTCATGTTTGTATTGACCAATCGGCACTCACTGGATGATGTATTAAAGTGACACCAGGTGCCTCTTCTTCAAGGGACATTGCCTATTATTAATTTAGAGTGTGTGGACTTACAACACAATGTCTGTTCTGAAAATAACAGTAACCCTAATAATAATAATAAAAAATTGCATCATGCGGATTCGAAACCATGAGTTTCGGGTCTGTAGTCGCGCGTCTAGCCACTACACCACAGCGGTTTCTCAGGGTATGCAGAGTTACCTGTGACTCATACCGTTCCCTGCCGTTTCTCAGGGTATGCAGAGTTACCTGTGACTCATACAGTCCCCTACCGTTTCTCAGGGTATGCAGAGTTACCTGTGATTCATACAGTCCCATACCGTTTCAGCTCTGACCTATTGAGTTACAAAGTATAAGCACAGTAAAATAATTGAATATAAAACTTTGATGCAAAACCTTTTTCAGGACGTTGCAGATCCAACCCTAGCAATGTTTTTGCTGTTAGATTTTTAGACACATTTTCGTGCTGTAGTTTGCGATTTCCCTAAATAGTCGGCTTTTGGTACCACTGTCGAAACCAACGCGAGACGGTATGTTGCCAAAAAACCTGCAGCTAGGATTTAACGCGGTAAACCCGGCACATTGAAGCGCGTTCGCCACACTCATGTATAGTTTAAAATTTTTTAAAGGGACCTGGGATATTTTGATTTTACACGGGTTTATGTGGATAAGTCAACTTCACCATTTGACAGAAAATCATAAAAAATTTTTTTTTTAATTCTACTGTAACATTTCTTTTTTAAGTATAACTTTTAAATAAAAAAAAAAATGAACCACTCCCTTTTTCTGGTTGGACGATTACTCCCTGACTACCAATAGTTTGATTTATTTTGTCTTTACAATAAGTCTTTTATGTGTTTATTTTTATATTATGTTATATCGAGGTCAATATTTAGATCACAATTATGCGACAATTTCCGAAACAGAGGATGAAGCCCCAAAGAAGCAGAAATCAGTTTACTTCTGCTTCAACGCGATCTTAACTGTTATACTTTCAGTCGGATCTTCGTGTCTGTTTTGCACTGTTTTCCCATTAGGGATTCTTGTCTAATTTATGATGTAGAAATTAAGGATTACGCACTTTTAAAATCTGTTAATACCACGCCCACTCCCTCAGAAGATAAACTGTTTATGAACAACATTATAAATGACGATCTAGAGGATACACAAGAAGTGAGTTGTGACCATGAGAGTGAAAAGAATAATTAACCTATACTTGTCCCCAGTGGCAGTCATGATAGCCTCAGATTAGTTGAGACTCACGGCAACAGTTAAAATAAAGATGGGACACAAGGCTTTACCTAAAGGTAAACAAAGAAGGTCACGTGACAGTCAATAGTATGATTAGGCAAGTTTGTTTTAGGACGCGAATTATTGGCAGTGACAGATCCTAATTGCAGACGTTGTGCAGAGTTATGTATTTACCACCACCAGACAACAAAAGTACAGATAGTCTTATAAATAAGACAATAGGAGCTGCAGCAACTGCAGATCACATCTACTATGAGAAATGTAGCTCTGAAAAAAAATTTCTTTAGCTGAATATTTATAAAATAGCGAAAAGCTGGAAGACATCTGTCATACTGATTTGTCATCAAATGGGGTTTGATGACTCTAGGACGTATTGGTGATTTTAGCTGCTGCAACTACTGGTTGTAACTTTTTTTTTTTTTTTTAGGGACAAAAATTTATTTCTGATCAACTGTCAATGGGAAATTACTTGTCCTTCTCCTCCCCTTCCTTCTTCTTCTTTTCTCCTAACCCAACCAGCTTGGCGTTGATACGTGCCTGTCGCAGGGTAACAAAAGCGTTGTGGTTACGCTCATCCTCAGTAGGTACACGTGCCTTCTCGGGTTTGAACCTGATCTGTAGGTCCAGTCAGCTGTTTGGCCACCTTCAATTCTTCAGCTGAAGCATCTGCCTTGCCAGGTTTTCCCTCCTTGCGTGGGAAGATAATTAGCTTGGTCTTGTACTCCTTCAGTCGCTGTACGTTCTGCTGAAGGGACTCAATAGACATGCTTCGTCTGCGGTAATCCACGGAGATGCCAATAGTGCGTGCTACTTTTTTGTTGACACCTGCAGCCTTTAACTCATCCAGAGTGAATCTACGTCCAAGCCTGATCTTAGTGTTGTACTTAAAGGTAGGACATCTGACAATGGGCCTCATGAGACCGGCAACTGGTCGTGGTGCGATCGCTGCAGCTCTCTTGGCACGAGCTGCGTGTCTCCGCTTCTTTCTCATGGGCTGGTTAAACCATGTTTTGACCATGCGCCGCCAATCCTTGTGCTATGATATTCTTGGATATTGTGAAGGGTTGGACAGTTCGCTGTAGATTGTTTTCTTGATAAGGATATGCGCCGCATTAAAAAAAAAATGCTAAAGAGCAAGCCATAGATGCCTCACATGAAGCCAGGATAGTTAAAAGGAAGAGTAGACACTAAGAATGACCAGCAGGCCCATCAGGAAGGTAATGAGCTGAGCACAACTTTTCTTTTTTTTTTTTTTTAAACTGTCGGAAAACTAGGTCAGAATTTAGCGTTTGCGCCTCGTTTTGATATGATTCTTTTCTCTAAACTATTGGAGTTAAATTAATAAACGTTGACACACAGCTTAAGAACAATAACACATAAGTTCTCTACCACTAGCTTTAAGAAATACCTAATGTAGTTTAAGTATGAATATTTTAATTTGGTAATTTGTTTGAGCCCTAGTTCCACAAATTCATAACTTCAAAAGTATTATTAGTACAGACAAACTAGAGATAGGGAATCTAACAGTAATTTTCCAGAATTCCAGACTCCTGTAAGGTTAGTTTAGAAGACATATTTTTTTTTAAACCAACACCTATTTTTTTTTTAATTTTATACAGTAATTTGTAATTTAATAATAATTTTACAAGGTTGTACGAGGAACGAAAATAGTAATAATAATAATAATACTAATAATAACAACTTAGTGAACTATTATGTATCAAGCACATGCCCACTAGATTTCAAGATTTTTTATATTCACTTGTTCATTCATTAAAAACAAAATGGTACCCGAGCTCACGTAGTTAGGTAGGTGGGTAAATTGTACCCGACAAGGACATCACACAAGCGATAAACACCCGGTGACACAATGTGCAACCATGCGGATGAAGATCACCCGTTGAGAGGTCCCGGAAATCCCGTTTAGCTGTTAGGCCTTGTTTGAGGCCCGGCTATATCTAGGGCCTTTGGCAAAAGTCAGTGTGAGGCTTCAAAAAAAAAATTGCGTTCTCATGGCAACGGTGCTTACGCAACGAGTTCAGGTAGGACTGTCCCCTGTAAATAACTGAAGCAAAACATGTTCATGTCACAGAATATTAACTCTTTCAACACCAAAGAAACGTACCATGTGTTACTGGATATCGTTAACATCAACCAGTACACACGTTATGTAGGTGTTGACATCTTATATATGGTCAGGGGCAATAAAGACCTCTACAAACGAGTTAACTTTCTACAAGTAATCTGGTAACATAGTCTCAGCTTTATAGCAAATTGGTAACCCCGTAGTTGCTACGCTGGTATGAAACACACACTGCCCCTTATGGAGAAAAAAATGCATGCAGACTGCGGTCTCAGCATATGCACTAGCATGCACATACATTAAAAGCATAAGGCAGCTATCAGATGTGCTAAGACAAACTGTCCGACATGGGAAATGCAGTTCATCTTCGACGGAAGTAGCAGCTGAAAACAGATCGGTAGTTGCACTCGCGATTAATTTTAACCTCATAGGGCATCACCACTTTTGTGGTAACAGACCACTCGCCATTTTGTGAATTTACAGTTCATAACACCACGCTGGTCACGGTCGAATAACATTCGGAATTAAATCAACACCTCACATTGTCGCGTCATGCACCCAGTTTAGTAGCCGGACGAAAAAAACACATTTTTTTCAGTCTACTAATTGAGTAAAATACAAATGCCACTGTCTGTCACAAGCAACGATTGTGTTGTCTATCTCAGACATCAACTATGTCATTCTGGGACTAAAAGATATGAACATGCATAATTTATTAGGAATTAAAAACAGAGGGATTGTAATTTGTAGGTTTTTTAAAGAGTTATTCTATGGTAAGCAGCAAAACTGGAAACGTTTCCAGTGCAGGCAAAAGAAACGCTTTAATTAAGGACACCTTGAAGTCTTCACTGAAGTATTTGGGATGAATGACACCAGCTGGGAGGCTGCCTCTCAAGACTGAAATGCATGGCGTGCAACTCTAAACAAGGGCGCGGCTACATGTGAAGCAAACAGAACAGCAAGACTGATTAAGAAAAGGATGGACAGAAAGGCGACAGCAGGAGATCCCCTCACTGGCACAACACTCATCCCCTGTCCTCACTGTCCAAGAACTTTTCGGGCCCGCATCGGCCTCATCGGTCATTTCTGTATTCATACTTGATGAAAAAGAGTCATCATCATCATCTTGATGGACAACACACATTGAAAGAGTTACAGTATAAATTAAACATTACAGTGTGGCTATGAACCGGAAGGTTGTGGGTTCAAGTATTCATGGAGCCAGACTTTTAAAAACCGGCCGTGACTCCCAGGTTGACCCCGCCTTGAGTATGTACCATGTACAAGTCCTGGGCAGTAAAGGCTGCTGGCGTGATGTCCACCACATCACTCAACAAGTGCCGATTTGTCTATAAAAAGAGAGTCTAGCTCTATGTGCTCAGTACTCCTGAAGACGGGGGAAAAGGTGATTTGCGTTAGAACAGTCGACAGGAGACTCGCTTTCAAATTCAGCTGCGACTCGCTGCAGCCCATGGCCGGTGTTTGAAATCGGGCGGTTTTCGTGGTTCACCCAGCCTCAAAATAATGGATACAAGAGTTAACACTCTGGGGTAAATGGAGGAACTTCTCTTTAGCTACAGAGTTGCGTGTGGACGGCGACACAGGCGGACAGTTCCTTATCAGCTGTCCGTACTGGTGGCAGAGCAGTTATGGTTTATAACCGTGTGCAATGGTGCTGGTTTACATCTCGGGACTTTACCTTTACGGTGGCTATGAAACATTCACTTACGTGGTCTTGTCCGACGAGGAGCTGAAAAGAACACACATGTTGACATGAAAAATGAAGCATTGAATTACGTTCAGAGTGGACAAGATCTGCACATTGCACTGTGTTTATCACATGCGGAGGGAGTGCGGTATCGTCTTGGGGCTGAGAGTAGCCTGCCGAGACACTTTTATAAAGCACGGAAGCAACCCGTAGCAACCAGACGGGAATATCATTTTTGTTTACTATGGAAGAAGTATTTGCCGGAATTGTTCTGAGAAAACTCCAGGTGCTCAGATACCTGGTTTACCCAGAGTCACAGCTTGGCTTTCCAAGGGACAGGTCTACCACTGATATAATATTCTTATTATGGTTGTTGCAAGAAAATAAAATCTACCACAATAATGCTTTTATTGATTTTAAAATTGCATTTGATATGGTTATTCGTGCAAGACAGCCTAGAATATAACACCACAACATCTATCATTAGAATGGAGGTGGAGGCGGTAGGTGCAGCTCTCCGTTGGCTAGAGAACAAGATGCATACACATGTAATTGTAACAGACTTTGAAAGCATGTTGAAAACGGTAAAGACAGGGATGCTTCGAGCAGAGTGGCAAGCTTATCTGGAAAGGTCACGGGTAGTGAGCATACTTTGGATCTTTTCTCCAGGCCCTGCTGGCGGGTAATGACAGGCAGACAGTATGCATGGAAATGCCGCAAGTGCTGTGATGTCAATTCCTGACTCAACTCAACTCAACTATTCAAGACACACAGACATAAGTGGAGCAATTTGTTTTGAATAGCATGAATTCTCAATAAAGCAATGACATCACAGCACTCGGGGCATTCTCATGCATGTTCCGTCCCCATCTTCAGCAGCCAGCGCAGAGTTCCAATACTAATGGTACCGGTCACAATCTGGTTAAAAGTCCATCTTGCCTTTCCCCTGAGTGTAGTGAGCAGGCCAGACCCCCTGGTTATACCCAGGTGCCTCATTCTCTCCTGGCAATAATAATCTCGTTTCGCGTATGACTCCGTTACTTGTTCCCAAAGATCCCTGACCAATTCTACCATGTCATGCATCAATTCCCCAGCCAGTGGTGCAGATCCAGACACGCATGGCCTAGAAAAAAGTATGCTCACTACTCGTGACCTTGCAAGTGAAGCTTGCCACTCTGCTCGAAGCATCCCTGAGTTCACTTATCTCAGCATGAGTAAAGCAAGCATGTTACCTGCCCTTGTGTGCTTTAAAATATAATTCTCATTTCATCTTAATTATTCCTTTTAGATCAGGAGAGTGGTGTATGAAAGCATTCTCGATCGGAACTCGGCCTCTGCAGTGGCCGTAGACTGAAAGACAGGACCAGAATTAGTTACCCATCTGATGACGCCGTACGTATAACCCACCCATCAGAGGAACTGTAATATAAAATATCTCCATTCGTAGATGCCAGTTACGAAATACTAGTCTGTTATCCCTCATGATGCTAGTGATCAGTGTTGATGTAAACATATTACGAATTTCTTTGTTGCATCTAACTCTCCGTTTCCCGCTGTTTGCATCTTTGCTGTTGTCAAGGAATGACACACCACTACACATTACCGTAAAAGAGTCGGGACCTGTATTACCTGTGCTCGACAAAACTTTCAAACTTGGACTCGTCCGAAAAGGTATATAGTCCCTTATATCGATATATGTCTTTATCGGATAAAATTATAAGGTCTACATCTTCTAGTTGCTTTGACTTAGCGTCATTTTCAAATTCGCAACTGTATGATAATTAATGCTGGAGTTATTTGAATATTCTTGGAAACCGGTTTACTCCTTGCTCATGTTTACAAGGAACTTCTTCTTACCGACGCCTAACTTGAATTTGTGCAGGCATTGTTTCTGCCGGCTTTCCTAGAGCTAAGATGTATGCATCTACGTCTCAGTAAATTTCAACTTAAGAAGGCGGCCTGTAGTGTCTAGGACTTTTCCTATGCTTGGGTAAGTTAATTATAGTTTACGAGTACCTTAAACGATGTATGGTTAGAAAGGTCGCTGCTGTAAATATACCGGCCTCGGCTATGTGATCGCACATAGTTCGACCGTTCTTGATCTCTAGAGAAGCGGATTCGAACTTAGACCTTCTTCTGTACAGACTAAATGGCATATGCCCTAAATAACCCACACATATTAGTAAAGATAATGACCCTACAAGTGTGTACCATTTAAACTAACAAC